GTGGAGGGGCACACAGCATGCTAATTAGTACGTGTGAGACCAGTTTAAACCATCTGCTGCTGGACTGAAGCATTGTGCAAGACACGATCTAGGACTTGGATTTCACTCTCAGGCCCTGGAGAGGGAGGAGGATAAGATAGAAATGAATGGAGGAGCCAAGGGGGCTGTTCATATTTCTTACACTCCTGAGTCGTCAAAAGAGGCACCTCCTCCTCTGTTTTCTACTTCAGCCCCTTTCATCCCATTCCCTGCCCTCCCCTGCTTTCCTTCCCCATGAGAGGTATGGCAGGAGCCAGCAAGCCCCATCCTTTTGGGCTCCTGGCCTCCTATGGGCAGCAGGGGAGCACGGTGCCTTTAAGACCGCACTGATCATATGAAGCATTCTCCTTCGCATTGAGAGGCAGCAGAGGGGCAACGGGATCAATAGCTCTTTATAGGTAATTAAATGGCAGGGGCTGAAAGAGCTGGGCCTGCCTCCCAGCTGCCACATTGATCCTCCCCCGTGCCGCGGCATATTGGATGTGTGGAGCAAACTCAGCCAGGGTAGTGGAAGGTGGAGATGGCTCTCTAGGAGGTGGAAAATCAATAGCAGTCTGCTCTGGGTCTCTGGGAGTTGGCTTCCCACACAGCCCTGAATCCCCTCCTGTTGCTTATCTACTTGAGAAAGCACCATGTGAGATGCCCCCGTCTCAGCCAGGATCCTGAGGGAGTCATTGTGCTGTCTTGCTCTGATTGATTTCCCTAGAAGTCAGTGCTTGCTTTAGTCCAGCCACTAAAGGATGTGTGTCACCAGCACATGGGTATTGGAGTCCCGGGGCCCTGGGCAGTCAAGAGCAGAGCCAGGCACCTCCCAAATTCATGGCACCCAGGGTTTGCCCCTTTCTGGCTGACAGCAGTCGCACATGTGCTCCCCTCTCATAGCTGGGGCTTCTTGGGAGAGGGGTCAAAACTCTCTTCAAAGGCCGGGAGCAGAGGGCTCAGGTAGGGGCCACACCACTGAGGTCCCAGCAGCCTGTGCCCCTGAGCTGTGCAGTCTGGGCAGAGGGCAGGCTTGCAGGGTGCTGTGGGAGGGAACAGAGGCAGAAGAGTTCAGGGCCAAGTGTGCAGATGCTAAGAGCCAGGTGGAGCAAGGAACTGGGGCCTGTTGTAGCCCTTCAATAGGAAGTACCAGCCAACTTCTTTCACCAGCTAGGCTGACCCTGGAGCCTTCTAAACTAGCCTTGTAAAGGAGACCAGTGCAAATGCCATTGGGGCCTGATTGTCACTGGTGCTGAGCTCTCAAGCAGTGGCAACACAGAGGGAGTGCATGGGGGTGCACATGCACCCCCTGAGAGTGCCGGTGCACCCCCTGATTGGCTGCACTCACCGCTTAGGTGATGGGCATGGGGGGCAGGCGGGAGTGCTGGTGCCACCACTGCAAGCACTGGCCAGGGAGTGGAGCGCCATTGCGCTCCCGGAAGTGGCCGCAGTGATTGGCCGCAGCAATCGGCCATCTCACGATCGGCTGCAGGGGGACCCCCCCAACCCAGGTCAGCAGGATCAGCCATGGGGGACTTCTCCCCCCTCCCACCATCAGCGAGATTGGCCAAGGGGGCACCCCCCTGACTAAGGCGGCACCAGTCACCCATGCTCTCAAGTCTTCTTCTGGTGAGTGCTCAGCACCTTAGGCAGGCACCTGGAAACACAGCAGATCGTCCTTCCAGGTCAGGCTGAATTGAGGCTGAAGGCCAAAACTGAATGAACCTAGGCACAGAGGCCTGGTTCCCCTCTTTTTCCACCTGGTGTCAGTCAGAAATAGCTCCACACACACTGCTGGGCTCGATTCTCATTCTGCTCCCATTGAGCTTCAGTGCAGCTGCCCCGAGTTATCCAAGTGAAGACAGAAGCAGGCTTGGTGGGACTGGGGGAGGCAGGCGGCTGAAGAAGAGTGGTCCAACAGGTTTGGAGGCAGTGGCATCAAGCCAGACCCGGCGCTGGATCCCCAAGAGCATCTCTGGCGCAGAACCTTGCCTCTCCCTCTGTGCGGTCCGGCTGGGAGGACGGGGAGGATGCCCTGTGGGGGGATTGCCCATCACATTCAACCGGCTCAGTTTCCCTTCTCTGGCTTTGGGTTGTTGGAGCATGCCGTGCCCCCAAGGAGACCTCTCTGCTCCCCTGCCTGCACCTTCCCTGTCTTTCTCTTCCAGGTGGTTTGAGCCTTTTGTTATCCAGTGGCTGGATGAGAATGAGGAGGTGTCCCGCGATTTCCTGCACGGAGCACTGGAGAGGGACAAGAAGGACGGGGTAGGGACAGAGCTGACAAGTGGCACTTCACACATTACCCCCCCCACACATACCCTCCAAGCCTGACTCCCCCCTCATGCTAGTGGGGCATGAGAGTGGACCATAGGATTCCTGCCCTGTGTTTTATATGCAACCCTGAGATCCATATACAGCACTCAAGCTCTCTTTTCTTACAAATGGGCTGGATTTGGCCAAATCCTGACATGCCAAAACCACCACCAGCTTTGCAGACAGCATAGCTATTCCACTAGTAACTGTATCCACAGGTATTAGAAGCCATCAATCCTCCCTGCCTGCCCTGCCTTGGAAAGGCGAAGGGGCTTTGGTGCCAGGTAATAGGCACTTTAGTGAAAGCAGTGATAGATGGGGACAAAATCTGACACAGCCTGGGCCCCGGGACAGGAGCAAACCCCATGCCCCAGACGTCAGAGCTTGTTCTTCCCTGTTTGAGGCCGGTGCTAATGGGGTCTGGCAGGGCCATATGGTGAGAGGGAGCCTCAGAGTGTTATTTCCAATCATCCACTCCAATGAGAAAGCAGCAGGAGGCTGGTAAGAGCCAGCCAGGGGCTTGGAGATGTGGCTTATAGTCCCAGTGAACTGGGCAAGGCTGAGAGAGGAGCCCTGTGGCATCTCAGGGGGAGCAGGGAACAGAATCGGGAGCCTGGACTCTGTCAGGTACCTGGGATGGAGGCAAGATGTCTGGGCAAAGCAGCTGGGGCAGGTTCCAAAGCTGTCCACTCCCTGGGACATAGGGATGTGCCTGGAAAGTATCCCGTCTTTTATGTTCTGCTTCTCTGTTTGCCACCCCAAAACGCCCCGCCTCAGTTCCAGCAAACGTCTGAGCACGCGCTCTTCTCCTGCTCCGTGGTGGACGTCTTCTCCCAGCTGAACCAGAGCTTTGAGATCATCAAGAAGCTGGAGTGCCCTGACCCGCAGATTGTGGGGCATTACATGCGGAGGTTTGCCAAGGTAGGGAGTCCAGCAAGGGAAGGGGTGGGGTAGGTTAGTCCTGGTCTGGTGCAGTCCTTGTTGTGACCATCTTTGTGTCCAGAGGAGCAGAGATCCCCAATCTTATAGAACAACAGGAGCAAAGGCCTTGGTTAGACCAGCTTCCCACTCAACCACCCATGCTCTGTGGCTGCATGGTTGTAGGTGGCCCTCACCTTAACCTCTCTGCTCCAAGTGCAGGGCACTTGGGATGGCAGTGTCCCCGTGTAGAGAAGAGAGAGGACTGAGCTGTAACGTCTGCAAAGATGACATTTAGCTGAGGCTGCTGAGCCCAGACAGGCCCGGGGGCTTCTCTCAGCTGTCTAGCTCCTAGGTGACTCCTACATCGGGAGTCCCTCCACTGCCTTCCATGGACTCACCCCAGTGTGGAAGGTCGAGCCTTGCTTGTATGGTCTAGTGAAGCCAACTCAGCTGCCTGTGTCTCAGCCAGGGCTAAGCAGCTGTGGAGTGAGCCCAGCATGCTGGGGTGGCAGGGAGGAGAGGAGGAGTGGGCAGCAGAAGGTGCCAATTAGGACAACCAGAGTGTCCCGGGCTAGCTGGGGGTGGCTGTGCCAGAGAGGGCCTCCTGCCCAGGGTCTCAGCTCTGCCTCTGCAGCAGCACGGGAGGTGCAGAAGGGGAGATCCATGTCATGTCTACCAGAGTTGTGGGGGACCATGAGTGGGAAGTGGGGGATGACGTATCCTCCAGATGTTCTGGAGCATCACATCATAAACATCATGAACAGAGACAGATTTGCTCTGCTCCAGGACCTCTGTCCCACGTGATTCTGCCTGAGGCTGCCTGGGCCCAGGCTGACATGGAGACAGGATTTCAGACTAAGCGAATCCAGCTGTCACAGCCTTGCTTCTTTCTGCTTCTCTTCCCTTGCTGTCCTGTCCTGTCTCCTCTTCCTGCTCTCGCTGCTCCTTCGTTCCTCTCTGCCCATGCCGCCTGCCTACAGACCATCAGCAACGTGTTGCTGCAGTACGCCGAGATCATCTCTAAAGATTTCGCCTTACACTGCTCCAAGGAGAAAGAGAAAGTGGTGATGTATCCTCCTCCTTCTGCTGCTTCTCCCTTCTCTCTTACCTTCCGACTGGCCCTGACTGGTGGGGCCAGCTCCTGGCTTGCTGTTCCCACACTGCTAGCCAGCACCACCATTAGATCCCTCCAGGAATCGAGGAGAGCCCCTTTCTGCAGTGCCTCAGGCCCTGCCAACACCCCCTGCTCTAGTTTCTCTCTGTTTCTTGAGAGCAAGATAAATCTCTGCCACTGGGGAGCTGCTCCCAGGTCCTCTGGGACTCTAGGGCACCTCACCCCACTGCAAATCCCTGCAGTGCTCCTTGCCTTAGAACAGGATCCAGCTCCAGACCTGGACCAAACGGCTGAGATGCAGGGGCCCTTGGATGTGTGCTGGGTTCTGGACTTGGCAGCTGGTCCCCTCTCTTTCCAGGGGGCTGAACTTCAGTTCCCACATTTAGTCACCCCAAGACTTCAAGGAGCTTTGGATCTGCACCAGGCCTGGGCTCCCACTTGGCGGCAACCAGCCAGGGAGATGGTGTACATTGCCCCTGGAATATGCACACATCCATTGACATTCATTCCTGGGCACCAGCCCCATCCTTTAGAAACAGCCTGGCTTGCCCAGGTATATACACCATGCCACACAAGTCATGCACTCACTCCTGTGCATAGTTGTGTAAGGCCTAGGCAGGATATGGACCAGTGAGACTCTCCTTTTCCTGCTGCAGAAGCGGCCTGATGTTCTTATTGAAGCAAGTGTCAGTCAGGAGTAACCCCGCCAAGGTCCATGGAGTGATGGTGGTTCAAAGCTGGGCTAATGGAGAGCAGAGTCCCTTGAACTGCAGGATGTCTCTGGGCCAAGGTCTGGTGTAAACTGCACTGGTAGAAATCTGGAGTCAGCCCATAGACTTGGATATGACTAGCAGGCCTCCCTTTCCTTGACACCAGGCCATTCAGCAGTGACAGCTCTCCTGTTAGACCCACTATGATATGTATGGACTTCACCATTGGCCTCCTGATGCTTTATGTCAGCGATAGATTTAGCCCACTGTTTAAAATGACAAGCTCTTTGTTCAGCTGACACCTGACCAGCTGCCCTCCAAGGGCCAGGCTGTCAAGTGTTCAGTACCCACAGGTGGAGCTAAGTGCCCTAAAGTACTCAGCTCCCAACACACCTGGCTGCCTGGAAGAGCCAGCCCCTGGTGCCCTGCTCTGAGAACAGGCAGTGCCTGGCCCCTTCCTGTCTGTCACACCCAGGCTACACCCCACACCACACAGTGAGGCAGGGGAGCAGGATGGAGGCCAGGCGCACAGTTCAGGAACTCCTGGAGAATGCGTGCCAAGTTGCACCAGGTCCCCATGAATGAAGCAGCTCGCTGGACCCAGAGCTGCCTACGTCCCACTGCGGAGATCCCTGCAGGCTGACTTTATGGAAATGGGAGACTCCTGTGGCCGTCGGGGCTAGGGCAAGCCAAACTCGGGGGCATCTGAACGCCAAGCTTTTGAGCTTAGGCCTGTATGTAGGATGCCTGCCAAAGGATTTGGAAGCATCTGAAGCCCCAGGTGGGGGTGGAGGATGTTTGCCGGTAGTAGGGCCACATTTGGTTCTTGAATGACTCACAGATTTGGAATTGATTTGGCTGATCTGACTTGGAACATGAAAAATATTCCTAAAAAAAAAAAAAGTCCAACCTCCTGCTTAAAGCAGGACCCATCCCCAACTAGATCATCCCAGCCAAAGCTTTGTCTACCTGGGTCTTCAAAACCTCCAAGGATGGAGAGTCCACGACCTCTCTGGGTAACCTGTTCCAGTGTTTTACCACCCTCCTAGTGAGAAAGTTTTTCCTAATATCTAACCTAAACTTTCCTTGCTGCAACTGGAGCCCATTGCTCCTTGTTCTGTCATCTGCCCCCACTGAGAACAGTCCAGCTCCATCCTCTTCAGGTAGTTGAACGCTGCTATTAAATCCTCCCCTCAGTCTTCTGCAGACTAAATAAGCCCAGTTCCCTCAGCATCTATTCACAAGTCACGTGTCCCAGCCCCTGAACCATTTTTGTTGCCCTCTACTGGACTCTGTCCAATTTGTCTACATCCTTTCTGTAGTGGGGGGCCCAAAACTGGACACAGTGTTTCAGTGCTGAATAGAGAGGAATAATCACTTCCCTCGATCTGCTAGCAACACTACTACTAATGCAGCTCAATATACCGTTAGCCTTCCTCGCAACGAGGGTGCACAGTTGGCTCATTTCCAGGAATCCAGGACTAGAAACAGAAGCAGAACTGCGGCACTGGGTGGCAAGAGATGCCAGTCTCCCCCTTCCCTGCCACTGATTTGAGGAGCCCCAGGGTCTCAGCCCAGCCAGTCTTGCTGCTGGGACCTAGATCCTAACATGCTGTGTCCTGGATCCCAGAGGTGCTGGTGTCCCCCACCCTGCAAGCACTCATGAATCAGTGAGAACCTTGAACACTTCAAGGGGCCTGGTGGGGGGCTGGGTCTTGGCCTTGGCCTTGACCTCTGTGCAGGCGTGTGTGTATGCAGCATGCTGCCAGGGTACTGGAGTGAGCTCTGAGCTGTGACATAGCAGCTCGGGACTCAGCACAGCAGCAGGGTAATTATCTCACATGAAACTTGGGGCTGCTGTGTCTGGGCTGCTTCCAGCTCACGTAGGGTTCACCTGGGTATCTCTGCACTGCAGCACCACGGGCAGGGCAGGCAGCCCCTTGGCTTCCCTGTCTGTGACATGGGATAGGGGCACCCACCTCCCTGGCCTGTGGGTAGATGCGATCCCACATTGCTGGTCAATGCTGTGAGAGCCTGGCCTGGGGAAAGCCCTCCCTGCTCGAGCTGCGAGGGTGCCTGGATTCACCATGCAGGTTTGGCTCCTAGGGCAGACTTTAATGAAGTAAAAGGCTCCCATTTGAGGCATCATCCACCCACTGAGTACCAGAAGTCCCATGTGGTGCCAGGTCCTCCCGCCGCCCCCCACTGTGGGGGTCCTGCACCTCCTCTGCAGCGTCCGGTGCTGGCCACTGCCAGCGACAGGATCCTGGGCCTCAGGTCTGCTCCTGCCTGCCTGTGCTCATGCTCACCCCCTCTCTGTCGTGTCCTCCTCCAGCCCTGCATCCTAATGAACAACATCCAGCAGCTTCGTGTCCAGCTGGAGAAGATGTTTGAGGCCATGGGGGGAAAGGAGGTGAGTATCGGGGCTCCCTGCTCTCCCAGCTGGCATCACGGGGGAGGCTTTCTCCTTTCCCCACATGAAAGCAATGCTTCTGTGATCACAGCCACAGATGAAGCTCCACAGGAGCCTGTCCCAGTCGGACGGTGCATCCATGTGGTTCACCTGCCTCATTGTCATGCAGCCAGAGCCCAGTCCAGGGCCATATCTTGGGGCACCCTCGTGGCCCTTAGTAGGAACATCATCTCATTGCTCTCAGTGAGGGACCCAGCCCACTGAAGGCAATGCATGGCCTGAGTCTTCTGCCCCCTGCTTATAGACCAGCAGGGTGCTACCAGTGCTGGTGGCTTGCCCTAGGGATGTACTTGGCCCCATGCTTGCATGCATCTGTAGGGCATGGGCTGTCATGGAGGCCCAGAGACTTCCATGCTTAGCCTGAGCCAGTGCTGGCACCCTTGCTTTGGTATCACCTGCTGGGCTATGACTGCACTCACCTAACCACACATGTCCATCCTCCAGCTGGATGCAGAAGCCAGTGACATCCTCAAGGAGCTGCAAGTGAAGCTCAATAATGTCCTGGATGAACTGAGCAGAGTTTTTGCAACAAGGTAAGCGTGGCTGAGAGGATGGGAGCCCCTGGCAGGCATGCTGGGGCAGGCAGGCAGGAGGTCCCTCTCACTGAAAGCATGGCAGGGGTGGAAGGGTGGCTCTGCTGCTCTCCAGGGGAAGGCCCCACATGTGGTGATGCTGGCAGTGAGTGCAGAGGGTCAAGGCATCAGTCTGCTGCCAGTGCATGCTGGGGGCATGGGGTTAGTGTCCCTGCAGTCACCGAGCTGCCTGCATCTCATGGCCGGCAGCTTCCAGCCCCACATCGAGGACTGCGTGAAGCAGATGGGGGACATCCTGAGCCAGGTGAAGGGCACCGGGAATGTCCCTGCCAGCGCCTGCAGCAGCGTTGCACAGGACGCCGACAACGTCCTTCAGCCCATCATGGACCTTCTGGACAGCAAGTGAGTGTAGGGGTGCAAGGGGCATGGGGATGGGAGAGGGGCAGGAAGAGCCCTCTGAATGGGGGAGGACAGGGCTGCAAGACCTCCACAGGGATGGGAGGGAACCTGGTCAGGGAATGCAAGTATGCCACTGCGGGCCCAGAGCACCATGGCTCTCCCAGCCCTGGATGCTCTGCTGAGCCCAGAGATGATTGTGCTCAGTGACAAAGGAGCTCCTCTTGCAGGCCCTGGGGAGACCTCTGCCTGCCCCCCACCTGCCCCTGCATGCACAGACTGAATACACCCCACCCACCCTGCCTCCTGCTCATCCCCAGAATGTACCTGTGCCCCCTGGGATTCTCAGCCTGCCCCATCCATGGTCCAATAGTCTTCCCATCCTCCTATCTGAACAGCGGGACCCTTGCAGATGGCCGGGTCTAAGCGTGGCCTTGCTTGGACCCCCACAGCCTGAAACCATGAGAATCTGTGCCCACCTCATGGGCTACTCCGGCCCTGGACATGCAGCCCTGCAACTGCCAGTCTTGCTGCTAGGATGCAGAGCTCAGGACCTCAGCTGGGGTGGGGCTGGTGCCTCAGAGTGAGCCCAGCCCTGCCTGCCCCAAGGGACCTGCTGATGTGAATTAGCTGCTTCCTTTGAGGCCAGGACAGGCCCACATGAGTGTAGCCTCTTCCCTGGAGCCCTGGGGAGCATGGGGGGCAGCACCTCCACTCCACAGCCCACCTCCATCCTCTCTCTGCATCTTTCTTCAGCCTGACCCTCTTCGCCAAGATCTGTGAGAAGACAGTCCTGAAGCGGGTGCTGAAGGAGCTGTGGAAGCTGGTGATGAACACTATGGAGAAGACCATTGTCCTCCCACCGCTCACAGACCAGACGGTGAGCTCCACAGGGCTGGAAGCCAGGACACGAAGGGCAGGAGGGGAAGGGCCAGGTGGCACCCTGTTCTGGGAGCTCAGGCCCAGGCGCTTGGCTCTGGGGTGAGCTTGGCATAGGGCTGTCCACCTGGTGGAAGCTCCAGATGGAGAAGGCTGGTGCAGACTCTTGCACTGCAGTGCCAGGTGCATGCGGCTGAGCCCCTGCTGCAGTCAGAGGGCGATGCTTCACCCAGAGCATGCAGGAGGTTGCTCGTGCCGGAAGCCAACAAGATGAGGAGGAGCTAGTCCCACCTCCCAGCCCTCCCCACCTCAGACTGTAGCTTCCAGGGCATTTCCAACTCACCCTGGCAGGTGATTCCCCATGTAACCAAACAGCCTCCTGGTATAACAGCCTGGCTAGAGGGACCTGACCCCTTGCCCTCTGGGGACAAAGCCTGGAGCATGGCTTATGGCATCCCCTCCCTTTGAGTATGAGGTCCCTGGCAGCAGCCCCCTTACTCCAGCTTCGGTGCAAAGCCAAAGCATAACTCCCTGCCTAGGGCAGGGCTTTATCCATCCTCACGTGGCTGAAGAAAGATGAGGCTTATCTCCAAACCCATTCTGGCTCCTGGGTCATGGCTCCATGTGGGAAAGGCATTGTGTGGGCTGAGCTGGGCTCCATTGCTTCTCTGGGGTAACCATGTTATACGGGTGGGGATGGTGGGGGGACATTTGGGAGCGCTGAGGTTCTCCACTCATTGGACATGGGGCCTCAAATGGGCACACTGGTAAGTCCCCAGCCGGGGCATTGCCCTCCAGCTCCTCTCGCCTCACCAGACCCCACATGGCATGCGTGGGAAGCAGTGTTAGTAAGAGCAACGTGAAGCCTGCTTTTATATACTCCAGGGGCTCAGCTGGCCCCTGGATGGCCCCCAAACACAGGACAATGGCTTAGTCCCCTGAATGCCCTCTCCAAGGGCAGGCACTGAGAACAAGGTCAATAGACTCCAGAGATAAGGCTGCCCCAAACCCCAGACCCAGCCCACTCTCGGCCTGGGCATGCTCTCTCAGGAGACTGTTCTTCTTTCCCTTTGACTTTCCAGGGGGATTCCCTTGAATGAAGCCTGCCTTCCCTTTGGCTGCCCCAAGGCAACCGGCCTGTCCGTCCACCGTGGACAAGGGTTCTTGCATGGGACCCTCCTAGCATTTTTCCCAGTCAAGCAGCCATGGCCAGCTAAGGAGGCCCGTTCACACCTTCTACCCAGAAGCAAGCACCTGCACGAGCAAAGACATGCAGGCCCTGTCCTGTTAGCAAACCCTCCCCTCCACCCCCATCACCATGCTCTGGCACTGCAGTGGCTCTTACTAGGACCCAACTGCCAGCACCCCCTGCCAGGAGCCACTCAGACAGCAGCTCGGGCTACAGTATTTTGAGGGATCTGATGTCCTGGTGCAGAATTCCCTGGGACCTTCCTTCACACAGCAGTTGAGGGCATTCAGATGACACTGGCCCAGCCGTGAGTCATCCCCTCATGCATTTATTTCAGGCTGTCACTCCTATCAGAGGCATTTGCCTCCATCCCCTGGACATGGGCAGGCTGCTGCTTTCACAGCTCAACTGTTACCTGCTTGCATTTCACAAGCTCTGTCCCTGGGCACAAGAGCCTGGCTTGTGACTGGGAGACCTCTCGGGCAAACCCCAGCGTCTGCTGGGAGTAGTGCTGGTGGGTGTTATCTCCATGCCAGGACCGAGCCAGTGCTCCAGCGGGGAGCTAGGGATGTGCTGCCTTCTCTGATGATCCCTCTGGCACACCTGGGAAGGGAAGGGGCATTAGCTTCATTTCCTTGGGGGTAATTCCCTGATGCACTTCCATATGGGTCTGAAACCTCCTGCTTCCTGACCCCCACCCCCTATGCGCTGTTAACAGCTGCTGTGCTACACTCCAGACCCAGCTGCACTCCTGCAGTGAGGGGAGACAAGGCCTGCTAGGATGTGGTAGGTTGTTGTCAGGACAGAAGGCAGGGTTGAAGCACCGAGTTGCTTAGCTCAGGAAGACTAAACAGTGCAGGTTAATCTCCAGGAGAGGTGCGTTCTGCCATTGGCACTGCTAGAGACACAGTCTTTACTTGAGCAAAACACGCCAGGGTTTATTATAAGGACATCCAGTCACCTTCACTGACATGCCTTTCTCTAGAGCTGCAAACACCTTGGCAGTGCAGCCTTCCTATAGGGGCCCAAACCATCCTGCTTCCCCCCAGACACAACCCTCATTTGCAAGGCCCCCGCTGCACTCAGAGGGAGCAGGCGGATCCTGATCACCCAAGCACAGGCAGGGAGCGAGCAGCCCCGAGCTCCTAGGACCAGCTGGAAGCTCCCGGGCTCCTGCGGTGGCTTGGGGCAGGGGAGGCAAAGGCTGTGCTGTGGCCCACAGTGCTCTGGATCCCAGCACCCTCAGAGAGAAGCCCATAGCGTGTAGTGGGCCTGGGGTGGAGCTCCCTGGGCAGTCGGTGATGCTGGCATGGGGCTGGGTGGAGGGGGCTGGCGTTTGGCTGTGGGGAGGCCTGGCTATGTGGTTTGGGGGAGGCACACAGGTGGGTGTGACATGCTCATGTGACGGTTGTTCTCTCCAATTGTTCTGCTCCCTTCACAATGGCAGATGATTGTAAGTACGGCAGCTCCCTGTCTGTCTGTCTGTCTGTCCGCTGTGTGTTGGTTTCAATCTCAGCCGGTTATTGTCTTGTGTGGCTGCCCGCGCCCTGTCCCATCCCCTTTCCTTCCCTCCCCCAAGTGCCTTCACCTCTGTTACCCCCTGTCGCTGAGCTGCTTGGCACCGACTATGACTTTTAGTGAAGAGCCTTCTCCCTTGTCAGGCTTCTGGGCTCAGATCTGGGCAGTGATGGGGCTTCCCGGTGGTGCTGGACAGTGCTGTGGGGCACGCTGGACAGTGCTGAACACATGTACAGGGATGGACTGAGGGGGCAAGGGCTGGCAGGCTGGGAAATGGGACATACTGCCAGCTCCAGGTGCCCTAAAGACAGCAGACTGGCATCACATCACATTGCCCTGGCACCCCAGGCTGTGAGGTGTGGGCAGAGCTGCCGCAGAGGGCTTGCCATGTGCTGTGTGTGGGGAGGTTACTTTCCATTCCCCGCCCCGGCTCACCTGGCAGTGCTGGCCCATCTATTTAAGGGAGTGTCCTGCACCCTGCCCTGGCCAAGTGCAACAGCCTTCTCTTCTAGTTTGCGCCATCCTGCCCCTCTGCTGACACCCCAGGAGCCAACCCTCTCTTCTCACACCCTCTGTCTGTCATAGAAGCATAGAAAATGAGCGCAGAAGGGACCTCAGGAGGTCACATCTACTCCACCCCCCGGCTCAAAGCAAGACCCATCCCCAACTGGATCTTCCCAGCCAGGGCTTTGTTTACCTGGGTCTTCAAAACCTCCAAGGATGGAGAGTCCACGACCTCTCTGGGTAACCTGTTCCAGTGTTTTACCACCCTCCTAGTGAGAGAGTTTTTCCTAATGTCTAACCTAAACTTCCCTTGCTGCAACTTGAGACCATTGCTCCTTGTGCTGTCACCTGCCACCACAGAGAACTGTCTGTTCCTTCCCTTAGCTTTTGCAGGCAAGATGAGATTGGGGAGCCCGCTGGCACAAGGCAGATCCGAGGCCAAGCCTAGACTGGGGCAATCCCCCGCTGAAACCTAGGTGGTGCGTGGAGCCGCACCGCATGGTGGGGTTGGAGGGAGGAGCAGCCTGTCTGAAATCACAGGCTGGATCGGTTTGCTCCATTGGAAGAAGCGGGCGAATGTAAGCTGCTGCGGGAAGTGACAAGGCAGAGAAGGAGCCGATGCCTTGACTTAGCAGGCCAGCTTTGCTCAGTCACATTAGCTACCTTGCAACCCAGGGCCTCTGGGCTTTTGCTACCAGCTCTGGTACCTTGGTAGAGTCACTGCCTCTCTCTGTGCAGCTTTCTGGTACAAATGGTGTTAAGACTTGGCAGTGCTAATGCAGTGTTTTAGAAAGGCCAGACCCGGTCGTGAGTGTGATGATGGGGACATTTCCCTAGTAGGGAGAATCCCAGACACATCTGGACTGTCAGGACAGTGTCACAAGGCCAAATTCCTTTGGGTTGTGGGTTTGAGTGGGTTGTTTTTTTCCAGTCATTGAGTGCTCAAAGGACAGCGTCAGCTCCTTCTTTAGAAAGGCCGAGTCCCTTCTCATGGATGTAGTGGGGAACTATGAACCTGGATTCCTGGGTTCCCTTCCCAGCTCTGCCACTGGCTCATTGCCTGGCTATGGTGAAGCTACTGCCTCAGTTTCCCCAGATCTGTAAAATGGAAACAATAGGGAGGTATCATGATAATAGGAGCAAGTGTGCCAAGATCATTCTGTCCCCAAACATCCTGCTACAGAAGGCAAGGCAGCATCTTATTTGCTAAGTACTGGGCATTTGAACTTCCTTCAGGGCCCGTGGAGAGCCTCAGGTTAAACTATTTTGGTCCCTTCCCACCCTTTGCTTCTACTGGAGCATAACTATTTTTCTTGGGTTTTGTCCCAGCTGTATGTGGTGCAACCCAGCTTTGGAAAGAGCTCGATCTTTCTCGGCAGAGGCAGCCCATTGCATGCACAGCCAGCCGGGGTGCCGCTTAGGGCCCAGGAAGGGGGTTGCTTTTATGCAGTGGTGGATCCTCCCAACCTGTATTTAGGGGATTAAGTCCTGGTGACAGGCAGCACTCTAGGTGGCATATCATGGGCCCAAAGGACTTGGTGTCACCCATCATGAGCTTGTCTTCATTAGGAATAAATGGCAAGCTTTCTCCAAGGAGATGGGTAGCATGGGGAGGCTAATTGCTAGCAGAAACTAGGCCAGTGATGCCCAGCCATGACATGAAAACAGCTCCTCT